ATAAAATAAAAAAATATTTAAAATAAAATATTAACAAAATACAATGACCTCATGGCCTGATAAGTAGACTGTTACTCCTTGCCAGGATTTGTCTGTGGAAATCTTCATATTTACAAAATATTTAAGATGCTCATGCAATCTGGCCATGAATTCAGTTCCTGAAAACAAAAATCTAAGTTAAACACAAAGCTTTTCACTAGTAATTCAAACCTGCATTTACATATCAAAAGTATTTATGAAAAAAACCAACGAATAAAAATTTTGCAAGAGGGGATAGCTCTTTGGTTCCCCCTCCCCCCCCCCAAGGGGTTTTATTTTTTCCATAGCAATCTAAAAAAATTTTAGAATGAGACAGTATTCCAACCCTACTAAAAGTTATTAAAACTTGTGTTCCCAACTCACTTGAGCCTTTATTGATTCTGTCCTCTAATTTAAAAAAAACCCAACCACCTTAGGATACGAAAATAGTGCCAAAATAAAGTGCAAAACCATAAATCTAAACACTTAAATTTAAATAATTACCAAATTATCTTACCTGGTGTAATACAGTTGGAGTCAAATCTGGCTTCTGTAGGCAGAGTTTCTCCCTTTTCTAATGCCTTTTTTATTTTTTCCTCTGCCTCTTTTGCTGATCTAAAACAATACAGTGTTGGAGAAAGGGAGTAGAGAAAGAGTCAACTTACTCAAAAGTTAATAGCCCAAGTACAGCTCTATTGACAAGATACATATAGCTGACTCTTTAAAGAGTGTTTTAGGGGGAAAAAAAAAAGGTAGAGAAATTTACCTCCTAAATATAGTTTGAACTTGTTTCTGATACAACTGGAAGGCTTAAAAATAGCTTTTTTCCCCCTAGTAATGACGATAATCTCTCATTGCTCGGACACAGTTAATATTTAGATCACCAAGATGATCATTCAATAGCTTATCACAATGAAAGCAAATTAATGTTGAAACAGTAGGAATACTTGGGATCTAAATATCTGAAAATGCTATCCCAGAACAGTAATGGTAAGGTAGTTAAACAAAGCAGCAAGTTTGGAATACCACGGGGGTAGGAGGGGCGAAAAATTTATCATCACTAGTAATGCAGAAACAAACAAACAAACATACATCATCCTAGCCCTCCTTGGCCAAGGATTTCATAAACACTTTTGAACCAGAAAAAGAGAAGCCACCAATGTCTTAGGTTTTTGTCCTTCTCTCTACTCCAATTTTCTGTTTAGAACTCTTTTTAATCTCTTCTTCCTGTCAACCTCCTTTTTTCCTTAAAAAGGACAAAAACCCAAACCCACAAAAAACCCCAGCAGCTTGAAAATATCTTCTCTTGTCCCTTTTCTCCGGTTTGTTTCTGTTGCATTTCACTCACCATCCCTGTATTGTCTGACCATTGGCTTTCTTTCCTTACAAGCAGTCTTCAAAAAAGCTTCCACATCTCCCAGAACAGCAATATAATTCTTAACACTGTCAAATCTACTTGCAGCTCTGTATTTGAGCTAGCTTGCTAACTGGTATCCACAAGAAACCAGAGTTTAATTAGAAACTTCATTTCTTCTATGGCTGTCAAAGAACGTTTCATTGTAGTTGCCAAAAAGGAGTATCTAGAACTAGCATTTACAAATACAAAGACTTTCACAGGTTATGAAGCCATTGGAGACATCTGTAAGAGCTCCAGGGCAGATTTATTTCACTGAAAATTTCATAGGAAAAAAACTCCCCCCACCTCCAAGTCCTGCATACACAGAGAAAAATCTAAGTAACAAGCAAACTTTCCTTTTTGGAATCCTGATTTTAAGTATTAACATTTTACAGGTAGTTACCCTCATTTAACTAAAAATTAAAGCTACTGTCAAAGGCATGACCACTCATAATATATTTTACTTTTCAGGCATACATTTAAGCAATTTTTTTTTTTTTTCCAAAAAAAGACAGAGCAAGAACAAAAATTCTCACCTAAAACGTCTCCCACGCTGCTGATTCATTTTTGCTCTTGGAGCTACTCCATCAACTGCCATGAAGAAAACCTTCCTTGGTTTAATAATGCGAAATAGTACTTCCAAATAGTGAAAAATATCAGCAAAAATCTTATCTTCTGAGATTCTGAAGTGAACATCATCATCATTTGGATGTGAGCACTGATGGATAATGCCATTCATGTCCAAGTATAAGTTGTCAAATTCTGGAATCTACAAAAGCCACAGTTAGTGCCCATTTGGTGACAGCTGAAGCAAGGCAACCACTGCCTGAGGTGTGGCTGAGACTAACGATGAACTCTGGAAAACAAGCTGAGGTGGGAAGACCTCCCTGGAACCTACCGCACACCAATGGGCTAAGAATATCTTGACTGGTTACGGGTTTGTCTGCGTTTGCAATCTGTTATAATTTTTCCAGTGAAGAAAGTCAGCTGAACAGATTCCTATCCTATCCTGATTGTTTCTGGTACCTCAGGACTTCTGTCCCCTGTGCTCGGCCAATCTTCTACATTGTATAAGGGAAAGCAAATAAAAACACTAAAAAAAAAACCTCACACTTTTCAGGAAGAGATAATTTTACTTTTTTTATAGCCCCACACATCTGACTGATTCATATTTGCATAGCTGCACTATAAACAGTAAAATTTACAAAACTGAGTATGCGGTTTCCAACAGTATTTCAAAAGCAAAGCCAGCTTAAGAAGCTTTAGGGCTCTCCCCCCGTTAACCAGTTCCTCCCATGACCACTGCATGCTGCCTCTTTAGCTATGCTAACAGGCACCCGTGAGTCAAGAGAGTGGCAATTACCACCAAAAGCAGTAGAGTTATCAACGATAACATCAATTTCCTTCCCGTGCTTTCCAAACGTAGATTTTTTTCTATCTAGTTCTCTGTTCTTCTAACAGTCTTATCTGTAGCAGTCCAACTTTCTTTTAAAAGAAAAAACCCTCCCCTGAACGTATACAAGCAACAGAGCACAGGCACTGTTAAACATATGAAGCAAAGGGGCTGTTATCTATCTTGTTGCAAAAAACTACCAAACATGCACAAGAGAAATTTGCAACAAACAAATCTATTCTTTAATCCACCAATATGACTGATCATAAAAATCCTCCTGTTACAACTGGAAGAAGGGACTGCTAGCCTTTCTGCAGTATTGCTACTGATATATCTTTACGTAATTTTGAAAGGCATGTTGTTGGACTTGTATTTATCATTCAGATGTAAGAGAAACATAAGTCCTTCAGAAAGAGGAATGACAAAAAGAAGAAACAAGGCAGGATTGGGAAGGATCTCCAGTCACCTGCAATACTTAGTCTTCTCTTGTGCATATTGATCTTCAGCACAGTTAAATTCAGTAACCAAACTGTTCTCACCATGCTCAAAGACCACATCATCAACATAGGCACCACTTTCAGATAAGAAAGCAGGGCAAAGCACAGGCAGCATTCTAAAGAGATGAAAACTAAAGCTTTTATATGGAAGCAACATACATATGGAAAACAGAAAACCTTTTAAGCAGCACAGCTATAATATAAAAATAATGATGTGTTTTACATAGGAATTGCCTTTCATTATGGGTAGTTTTTTCTGTAATAGCAAACAAAAATCCTAATCTAGATGCTAGTATGTGTCAGTCTGTATATTCAAATAATCTGGCAGAAAAAAGGAAGAATGAGGATACGTGTTACTGTTGAAGCTTAATATCACAGAAAACAATCTAGACATTTTCTTTTCTCTTTTATAGACAGTAAGTATTTCACATAAGCTAACAACATCATCTAGTTTTCAGAAAGACTAACTAGAGATTGACATTAGAACTGGCATACAAGGTTGAGCTGTGCTGTTTATCATAAGGGCTCAAACAGCC